TATCAGTTCTTACACTTAAATATAACACAGATGCAAGGCATTTTTACTAATTGACTTGCCTAATCTCAAGGACCTCGGAATAAAACCTTTCTTATCTAGATTTCAGTGCGTAAGTCGGGCATTCGCTCACCGCAGGTAGACCACAGTTCCGCCGCGAGAGAGGGCTCCTATCAGGCGTGCGGTGCCGGCCACAGAGCATCCTCCATTACTTTTAATTTAATCTCCTTGCTTCGCGTGCATAAGTGTGTGTAGTGAGTGCTTGTTTTCGTTTGCAAGTTAATGGGTTGAACATGCTTACTGCTTGAGTCAGTGAATGTGAATACAATACCAGACCTAGGCCTACCCAAAACCCAAAACATTTTTGTTTTTTGGGTTTTTTTTTTTGGTAGGGGTGGATGGGGCGAGGGGTGTTGATATTGAATTGGAAGAGCCCACCGATATTGTCGTTTGTAGTTGCGGGTCATGCTATTCAACCCCCCCCCCCCTTAATTAAGCCAATCTTTTTCATAATCACGACTTTGCTCATTGGTTCGTGGAAACTGCTAGGACTGTGAGCTAATAAGATGGGCGACGAAGAACAGGAGACCGCCAAAACCGTGGCAACAGGACCGAGCTCACCGTCTTCTCTGGCGACCGGCTTTGGCATCGATGACCCTCGGGTGGAGATTGTGGCAGACTACCTGCTGCGCCACTATCGCCTCAAACCGGACCGCTGGGTCAAATTCTACAACAACCCAGATAACCAAGTAAGTCAGAAGTTACTCAAATCAGTGGCCTATATTATTATAGTCTAGATCTAGGCTAGGTTGTTTGAAAAGTGGCGATTTTGATGATCATGTTAACATGATCCACCATGACCATCACCATGTTCATTAGTCCGTGCCATGTCATGTCATGCTATTTCCAAATGTTTGATTTTAATATAATTTTATTTATTTAGATCTACTTTATATTTTATTATTTTTTGTTGGTTTTTGTTTAAGTGCAATAACCCCCCTCCCCTCTCAGGGATGGGTGGGGTGGAAAGGTAGGGGAGGGGGGTGGGGGGTGGCATGTTTACATAGTTTTAGTGCTGTATACTGGGCTGCTCTCATGGAACATTTCTCAACTGACATTAATTTATTAATTATATTGCATGCTGACTCCTACTCCTAATTTTTATCGAAGACCCATGATTCAACTGCTGCAATGGTTATTATGTTATGTAGGCTTGTACACAAAGAAGAATTTGACCTTAGATTTCTTTCAGTTACACACAGTTAGAACATAATACCATCAATATGCGTCAGTTGTATCTTATATAAATCATATTATGATTCTTCACACTCCTACTTCTGTTCCTCGTTTATGCAGATATCTGTTCATCAATAATTAATTATAATTTCCTGCTTGGCAATTTTTTTTCAGGCTGCTTTGTTTCAATTCTTCAATGACAGTGAGGATGATCTGGTTGTTTTCAACTGCAGTGGGAGCTATCTCGAGTTCTCCTTTGCCTGGCCAACTGATCCACAACAAAAATACACGTAAAAGATTTCTCCTGCTGTATGCAGATTTGTCAATTGTCCCATTTGTTTTAAAAATGTCTCAAGTTTGATGTTTGAATAGTCCTTTGAATACAATGCCGCCCCCCTCCCTCCATACATGTGTGAACTACTTTTATCTTCATTTGAATTGTAATCACTCTCCGAGTCTTCCTGTCTTCCTGTGCGTGTGTGTTTGTATGTCTCTGTGTGTGTGTGTGTGTGTGAGAGAGAGAGAGAGAGACAGAGAGAGAGACAGAGAGAGAGACAGAGAGAGAGAGAGTGTGTATGTGCATGTGTGTACATGTGTGTCTGTGGTGTTGTGTGGTTATTTTCAGCTGTGCTGGGAGTTGTCTTGAGTTAATTTTTGCCTAGCTTACTAATCACCATCCCAATCTTTTTTAGAACTGTCCCAGATTTGATCATTAGAAAAATTTTGCCTTTTAACCC